CTATCTTGTCTGATGCCCTCTCTAACTGTTGTGTTTTGTCCTCTATATTGTCTGATGCCCTCTCTAACTGTTGTGTCTTGTCCTCTATTTTGTCTGATGCCCTCTCCAACTGTTGTGTCTTGTCCTCTATCTTGTGTGATATCCTCTCTAACTGTTGTGTCTTGTCCTCTATCTTGTCTGATGCCCTCTCCAACTGTTGTGTCTTGTCCTCTATCTTGTGTGATGACCTGTCTAAATGTTGTGTTTTGTCCTCTATCTTGTGTGATGCCCTGTCTAAATGTTGTGTCTTGTTCTCTATCTTGTCTGATGCCCTCTCTAACTGTTGTATCTTGTCCTCTATCTTGTCTGATGCCCTCTCTAACTGTGGAGTCTTGTCCTCTATCTTGTCTGATGCCCTCTCTAACTGTTGTGTCTTGTTCTCTATCTTGTCTGATGCCCTCTCTAACTGTTGTGTCTTGTCCTCTATCTTGTGTGATGTCCTGTCTAAATGTTGTGTCTTGTTCTCTATCTTGTCTGATACCCTCTCCAACTGTTGTGTCTTGTCCCCTATCTTGTCTGATGCCCTCTCCAACTGTTGTGTCTTGTTCTCTATCTTGTCTGATGCCCTCTCCAACTGTTGTGTCTTGTTCTCTATCTTGTCGGATGCCCTCTCCAACTGTTGTGTCTTGTTCTCTATCTTGTCTGATGCCCTCTCCAACTGTTGTGTCTTGTCCTCTATCTTGTCTGATGCCCTCTCTAACTGTTGTGTCTTGTCCTCTATCTTGTGTGATGTCCTGTCTAAATGTTGTGTCTTGTTCTCTATCTTGTCTGATGTCCTGTCTAAATGTTGTGTCTTGTCCTCTATCTTGTCTGATGCCCTCTCTAACTGTTGTGTCTTGTTCTCTATCTTGTGTGATGTCCTGTCTAACTGTTGTGTTTTGTCTGTCGTATCCTGACTGCCTTGTTTGTCCTAGCTATTTGGTCTGTGTGTCTGATTTATCCTGTGTATCTGGTCGACTTATCCTGTGTATCTGGCCGACTTATTCTGTGTATCCGGTCGACTTATCCTGTGTATCTGGCCGACCTATCCTGTGTATCTGGCTGACTTATCCTGTGTATCTGGCTGATTTATCCTGTGTATCTGGCCGACCTATCCTGTTATCTGGCCGACTTATCCTGTGTATCTGGCCGACTTATCCTGTGTATCTGGCCGACTTATCCTGTGTATCTGGCCGACTTATCCTATGTATCTGGCTGACTTATCCTGTGTATCTGGCTGACTTATCCCGTGTATCTGGCTGACTTATCCTGTGTATCTGGCTGACTTATCCTGTGTATCTGGCCGACTTATCCTGTGTATCTGGCCGACTTATCCTGTGTATCTGACTGACTTATCCTGTATATCTGACTGACTTATCCTGTAGGCTTAGATCACCCACCTGAGTAACGATTGATCTATAAAATATAGGTCTAGCCCTATATGCCCTAAAGGTATGGACGAGGGTTCTTTACTATTTGTCTGTCTGCTTGTCTTCTCCCCATTCTGGATAGCAGTGTATAATTATGTCTGTCCGTCTGCTAAATTCTACAGTCTATCACTTGATCGAACGAGGAGGAGCAGGGCAAGCGTGTAGAAGAAAAGATGATCTCCAGAAACAGTTGAATAGTCTGTAAGCACACTTGCCCTCAAACCGGACCTATCACTTACACACCAACGTCAGATGTGTTGTTTATTGACCTCCTTTCCAGGTCACGCCACAGCTGACTACCTTACTCGTCCAGTTCTCTTTTCGTGCACTTCACATTATTTCATATCTATTATCATTTGTTTGCCCGTCAGTATTATAAAGGATAACCCCCCGCCCCTCACCCTGTGCCAGATAATGTGTACAGAATCTCAACCAGTATCACCAAACATCACAAAGTTGACTCCCCTGTCTTTTTGCTGCAGAGCTTTGTTAACACAGACCAACTCTTCTTAAACTCTTTAACACGAACACGCATTGTGTCCCAGCAGCGATATACTATTTACAATAATACATCTATTAGTCGGCGGTTAACACGAAAGTTTAAACTTGATTTTTTTGTTTAGGGGTGGGTGGGGTCCTATGAATTGGCCCTAACCGAGGTGTTACTGTACTAACCAACACAGACGCACGAACGGAAGTGAAACAATAGAAATCTGCTAGGGGTTGAGGAATGTGGCAACATCTAAATCAGATTTGGGCAGTGTACGGTCTGTGAAACCATTTGGGCAGTGTACGGTCTGTGAAACCACTTGGGCAGTGTACGGTCTGTGAAACTGTCTGACCTTGCCAGGGCAAATACAATTAAATGATAGTCCAAATAACCGGCCTTAATGTTGAGTTGATATTTGTGTATGGACAGCTACAATTTTAAATCAACATATGAATGGGACTCGGGGACTGACTGGTTGATTGGCACCTGTCCGTCTTTCCAGACGATAGTGTTATATTGCGTTATGAGGAGGCATGAGACTCGCAGCCCATGGCGGTGGCGAGTGCGACTAGCAAGACCCGCCTGTGTCAAGAAAAGTCTTCCACAATGATAGCATGGGATTTCAGGACCATTGTTGTCAACATTTGTGTTTAATCCGTTTCTTTTCAGACGCTCAGCTCTTATCCTTTCTGAAATCTTCCCTTCCTGATATGCCCTTTCCACATAATTCGGTCCATTGTATTTTGTTCCTATGAGTCCACCTCCTTACCTGTATCATTCATGTCCCCCTTGCACACAACTTTATACCGTAGTAGAGGTCGGCCTTGACATCTTCTTCCTGTCTTTAATTCACCATAAAGGATGTCATTAGGGACTCTGCCATCCTCCATTCTCCAGGTGTGACCCAGCCACCTGAGCCTTTGTAAACTGAACATAGAAAAGACTGTTGCAGTACCTACTCTCTCCAGTACCTCAGTGTTTGTGATTTTGTCCTGCCACTTAATGCCAAATATTCTTCTTAGGCATCGCATGTGAAAGCTATTAAGCCGTCTCTCTTGGTGCAAATAGGTTGACCAAGTTTCACTGCCATAAAGCAGAGTGCTGAGAATACAAGCCTGATAGACAAGGGTTGTTGTTTTAATTGTGAGCTTTCTGTTCTCTCAAACTCTCTTTGATAATCTGCTCATTGTTGTTGCTGCCTGACCTATCCTGATGTTGATTTCTTGGTCCAGCGGTAGTTTACTATTCACTGTGGAACACAGACAGGTAAAGTGGTCTACTGTCTCTTCACCGTCAATGTAGACTGTAGGTCTGTCATTAACACCTTGCACCACAACCTTTGTCTTCTTTTTGCTGACTGTTAGTCCAAATTCACAGCACGCATCAGCAAAGGCAGATAGTAAACATTGCAGCTCCTCCTCTGGGTGGGTGGTTTTTGCGGCATCATCTGCAAACAGCAGCTCTCTGATAAGTACCGTTCTTATCCTGGTTTTGCCCTTCAGCCTGCGTGCATTGCAAAGGCTGCCGTCAGATCGAGAATGAATGAATATACCATCCTCCGGATCTCGAAAGGCATGTGTCAAAAGAAATGAAAAGCATATTCCAAAGAGGGTAGGAGCAAGTACACACCCCTGCTTCACTCCATTTTTATTACAAACTCCTGCGATGTTGCACCCATCAAAGTATATTATACCTTTCATACCTGTGTGGAACGACTCAATAATGCTCAGTAGGGTAGGTGGACACCCAATCTTCTTCAGTGCGTTGAACAGACCTTTTCGACTAACCAAAACCAATGCCTTGGTAAGATCAATAAAAGCAATATACAGTGGTTGATTCTGTTCGCGTCATTTTTCCTGCAACTGTTGTAATGAAAATATCCTATCAGTGGTAAATCGGTTCCCACAATAGCCACACTGGGACTCTGGGTAAACCCGGTCTCCTAGGATCTGGAGTCTTCGCAGAACAATTCTCGCAAGTACTTTTCCAACAGTACACAGCAGTGATATTCCCCTGTAGTTATTGTAGTCACTCCGATCATCCTTTTTCTTGTACATAGTTATGAAGCTAGAGTCTCTTCATAGCACAAAGCCTAGGCTGTAGAGACCATATTTTGCCCATGCATAATGATCCCTCCCTAGACCTTCCTTGTTTATTCTAAAGGAAAGGTAACATCAGTACGTTTGGAACAAAGCAGGCTGCAGAAGCTGCCGGATCAGAAGAGCAGTGCTCTATTTGTCCGCCTGTCGGAGCTCCCCTCCTAGATAGCTGCCAGCCAGGGCTACGGGCCTGGTGGTACCGGCTGCTGTTTTACGGTAGCTCAGTCAAATCTGACCAAGACCTGACCTCTAAGTCGGGAACTATCTTCCAGTAAAGAAAGAAAATACGAGCCTTTAAGCTGAAATGCTATAGAAAGATTATCAGAACACCATGGACAAAAAAGAAAAGAAATACTGACACTGTAAAAGATCTGAAAAATCAGGGAATATTGGCATCTTGTCTCGGAAGCTGAAATATTTTATTGATATCAACAGCCATGGCGGATTGGGGAAAAAAATTAACAGCAAAAGGTACGGCACCAGGAAGGAGGGGCAGGGGCAGACCAAGACGAAGATATGTGGGGAAAATGACTCATTGGATATGAAAGTAGACGAGGCGAGACAGCTGGCGAGAGACCGAGTTTCTTCCAGGCAGACCATGATGAGAGCGACGTTCTGCAAGGGACCTGTTACATGATGATGATGAATGTCTATGGGCTATAAATGATGTTATAAATATCCAAATGACCCCTGACGCGCGCTAGCGTACATACACACGTACACACGCGTAAATATCTATACATACATACACACACACACACTCCCACGTTTGAAGCCAATCGAGCCACTGACAATAAATGTGGCGAGGTTTAGTAATGGGTTCAGTTGTGAGACATACATACAAGCACTGACGACTAAAAAAAAAAAAAAAAAAAAACACTCAAGACAGCATCACATCCTAGATACTTCAAACAAACAAAAACACCACAACACACAGCTCCGTGTCCATCAGTTGGTTTCAAGATGGCTCGCTTGTCTGACATTTCCTTTTTTCATGGAGAGTTGACAGGGTCTGACACCAACTACCACCATCGGATTATTAGAGATGTTTATGCTAGCGTTAATCTGAGAAACAGTACGTTATGGTTGAACAGTGCCATTCCTCGTTACACGCATGCGAGTGACGACACGACAAATCCTCGTCTGGTGGCTGGTATTGTAGTGCTGGCCTTGCTGGGATTCAACGTCCTAGGAAACTCTCTGGTGTTTTTCATCTACGAGTTCCGTGTGAAGGTATTAGTCTCTATGTATCGTATTCGCTTATGCTTCTCGAGTAGACGTGGTGCTAAATTATTTTGTGAACTTCTGTAGCTGATTATGTTTATAGGTGAACAATTACCGTCCACTCTGACACAATTGCCTCAGATCCAGTTAAGTCTCCCAGGTCGACACACTAGAGTGGGTATTGTGAAGTGTCTTAGAAGACAAAGTCACCGCCGAATACAGTAACCACACTGCCCATAAGCTGCCAGTTTGTCTAAGACACAAGAGATTCTTCTTCTGTGTTTGTCTCCCAGTTGTATCCCAGTGTCGTGGTTTTCTCTGTTTGTCTCCCAGTTGTATCCCAGTGTCGTGGTTTTCTCTGTTTGTCTCCCAGTTGTATCCCAGTGTCGTGGTTTTCTCTGTTTGTCTTGCGCTTCTCGGATGGACTGGTGGTGAATTTGTATACTTTCTGGAGGTTTCGCATATATCATTTATCAATTTGTTTTATTTGTCTCCCCTTGACTTCTTCCCCCCACCCGACCCCAAAAAATGCACTAGCAATATCCTTTGGCTGGGTTTTTACTAGAAGGCAGAACCCTTTCATTTTTTGTCTGTCAATATGATTCAGATATGACTTTATTCCAACTATTTCTCTAATGCTAGTATTTATAACACGGTTCCTTCTTGTTTTGTCGGTGACCGTACGGAGAACAGCCCAGTTCACAGTATGTAGTAGTTATTTTCTGCTCTAGTGTCCTACTTTTTACATTTTAATGTGGAATTTATACGATATATCCAAGGAGAGGAGAAGGGCCTTTTACAAGAGTCTCTTGGCGGCCCCAATGATTTCAAACATGTACGGGATAATTATTGGAAAAGGCGGCGAGGAATGGCACTGGACAACGCCGCACATAGCTATGATGCTGCCTTTATACTGTGTGAACAGTTCACTATCCAATGTTACTCTGTGCCACAGGAACACTCGAATGCTTCGTCGGTCACTAGCAAATACAAGGAGAGACTGATCCGCAGCGCTGTCAGGTAATACTGTGGCCGATGTGCAGCATCTGGTTAGAGCTGACACCCCTATCCACGAGATTGGCTACTTTACTCCTAGGACAACTTTTGCTACAATATCCAACAAGGTGTGAACTTTGAACCTTTGCCGTCAATTAGTTGAGAGTCTATGCAAATTAGGAAGGCAAAAGAAGCAGAGGCAGCAGTACCACTACCAGCAGCAGCAGCAGCACAGCAGCAGTACCGCTGCCACCAGCACCACCACCAGCAGCAGCAGCAGTAGCAGTACCACTACCACCAGCAGCACCACCACCAGCAGCAGCAGCAGTAGCGGCAGCAGTACCACTACCACCAGCACCACCACCAGCAGCAGTAGCGGCAGCAGTACCACTACCACCAGCACCAGCAGCAGCAGTAGCAGCAGTACCACTGCAAATTAGGAAGGCAAAAGAAGCAAAGGCAGCAGTACCACTACCAGCAGCAGCAGCAGCAGCAGCAGCAGTACCACTGCCACCAGCACCACCACCAGCAGCAGCAGCAGTAGCAGTACCACTACCACCAGCAGCACCACCACCAGCAGCAGCAGCAGTAGCGGCAGCAGTACCACTACCACCAGCACCACCACCAGCAGCAGTAGCGGCAGCAGTACCACTACCACCAGCACCAGCAGCAGCAGTAGCAGCAGTACCACTACCACCAGCACCACCAATAGCAGCAGCGACTTCACGAATTAGGAAAACAGTAAAAAATGCACAAAACAACACAAATCGACGTTCTGGCACACCAGTAAGTCAGACATATACAAGGGCACGTAACACTCAAATAGCCTATCAGTTTTTTCGTCCTTTTTAGGACAAAATTTTTATTATTTGAAGCCCCACACTGGCTTTTTCCAGGGGCCGCAATATAGGCAGGCCATAAATATGGTCAGTTGTCTGAACGCGGTTTCTGGGACCTCTCCACGGCGATCCTCATCCACATGGTGGCACTTTGTGTCATCGGGTGTTTATCGCTTGTGTTAGATGTCCTGGTGGGGTAGAAAGTCAGTCAGTCAGTCAACACTCAAATTCTGAAACACAACTAAAACGCAGACGTGGACGAACAGCCAAAACGTTTCGTCAAAGTTTACAGCTGGTGAACGCTAAGATTTAAAAAAAAAAATACAAATAACCGATCACACATGTCACACATATCCAGCAAGAACGTTGATACACACAGCACACATCCGTTTCTTTGTTTGTGATGCCTGACTTTTCAGAATGCGAAAATGTAGAGTAAAGGCGATCCTGACTCACTTGTACATCCTTGTGTCCACAGCCGAGTGTCTTCTCGTTCTACGTCAAAGTTCTGGCGGCGCTGGACATATCCACGGCACTGACCACCATGTTGCTGGACGTCATCATCAAGATGCGACCTCTGGAGGAAAGCTGGCTTGACCTGAACAGCTTATGTAAGATCACACACTTCCAGGTGTATGCCCAGAGTCTCGTCAGTGGCTGTGTCTTCACGCTGATAGCCTATCAGAGGTACCGCAAGGTCAGTCTCTCTCTCGCTCTCTCTCTCGCTCTCTCTCTCTCTCTCTCTGTGTGTGTGTGTGTGAGAGAGAGAGAGAGAGGGGGGGGGGGGGGATAATTAGAATCCTAACCTGTACCAGCTACGCGGGCCACAAATCTTGACTGACGCCGCCCTAAAACGAGGTCAGTACAGATGTGTGTTTATATTGAAAGTTTAGCAGAGATACCAGAAAGTCTGTGTGTTTATTTGAGTTTACATTAACAGTTAATCCGAGATCATCACGAATCTCTTACTGTCTTTCCCTGTCTTTCTCTGTCTCTAATCTATCCGTCCGTCTGCTCGCCCGCCATCCCGTCCGTCCGTCCGTCCGTCCGCTGTATCACATCCACTCTCACCCAGTCAGACCGTATCACATCTACTCTTGTCCAGTCAGATTGTATCACATCCACTCTCACCCAGTCAGACTGTATCTCACCCAGTCTGACAGTATCACATTCACTCTCACCCAGTCAGACTGTATCACATCCACTCTCATCCAGTCAGATTGTATCTCACCCAGTCTGACAGTATCACATTCACTCTCACCCAGTCAGACTGTATCACATCCACTCTCACCCAGTCAGACTGTATCTCACCCAGTCTGACAGTATCACATTCACTCTCACCCAGTCAGACTGTATCACATCCACTCTCATCCAGTCAGATTGTATCACATTCACTCTCACCCAGTCAGATCGTATCACATCCACTCTCATCGAGTCAGACCGTATCACATTCACTCTCACCCAGTCAGATCGTATCACATCCACTCTCACCCAGTCAGATCGTATCACATTCACTCTCACCCAGTCAGACCGTATCACATTCACTCTCACCCAGTCAGACCGTATCACATCCACTCTCACCCAGTCAGATCGTATCACATTCACTCTCACCCAGTCAGACCGTATCACATTCACTCTCACCCAGTCAGACCGTATCACATCCACTCTCACCCAGTCAGACTGTATGACATTCACTCTCACCCAGTCAGATCGTATCACATTCACTCTCACCCAGTGAGATCGTATCACATTCACTCTCACCCAGTCAGATCGTATCACATTCACTCTCACCCAGTCAGATCGTATCACATTCACTCTCACCCAGTCAGATCGTATCACATCCACTCTCACCCAGTCAGACTGTATCACATTCACTCTCACCCAGTCAGACTGTATCACATTCACTCTCACCCAGTCAGACTGTATCACATTCACTCTCACCCAGTCAGACCGTATCACATTCACTCTCACCCAGTCAGACTGTATCACATTCACTCTCATCCAGTCAGACTGTATCACATTCACTCTCATCCAGTCAGACTGTATCACATTCACTCTCACCCAGTCGGACTGTATCACATTCACTCTCACCCAGTCAGACAGTAGTATCACATTCACTCTCACCCAGTCGGACTGTATCACATTCACTCTCACCCAGTCAGACCGTATCACATTCACTCTCACCCAGTCAGACTGTATCACATTCATTCTCATCCGGTCAGAATATACACATTCACTGTCATCCAGTCAAATTCTACTGTTGCGATACTCACCCCAATAAAATATCTCAGTTGTGCTCAAACTGTCCATCCCCAGATCTGCCATCCTCTAGAACCAGGGCTGACCATCAGGACAGCCAGACGATCGCTGGTCATCATCTCCGCCATCTGCATCCCACTGACCGTCCCCACCCTGGTCATCAACGGGGCACAGGACATCCAAGTCCGGGTGAACACATCACACATCGTCAACGTGACCATCTGTAGGAACGACAAGAGATTCGAAGGCACATATTACCAAAGCGTGTTTTCTATCTTCCTTCTGTCGGCATTCTCTCTGGTCCTGTGTCTGACAATCATATATTACGCAATGGTCGCTAAAGCGGTGAGAAAGTTCGAACGCCGCAGCTCCATGTTGTCCAAGCCTGCCTCATCCCCAACCGCCCTAGACACCATCAACAAAGAACAGGGATATGCTGTCCATGCAACAGTGGGAAGACACAGACAGTCTGCAGGGCGTACTCGACTACCTCGCCTGTCGATATCTGGAGAAACCAACGACCGGATTTCCATACAAATGTATCGGGTGTTTGCCACAATCACCATCATCTTCATCGTCAGCTATCTGCCACATCTGCTGGTTCTGGTGCTGAGAAAATCACTGGGGCTCGATCACCAGGTACTCACGTTTGCTGAACGGATTCTTCTGGACCTCGCTTACAACTGCCCCTATCTGAGCACTGTAGCAAACCCCATTGTCTACGGCTACTGCAATGCTGAATTTAGGGACCGCTTGAAACATATTTTCTGTTGTAAAGGGACTCGAAGTTAATAAATAGTAGTCAGTAGTACTGTAGGGACGTTTCAGGCAGTATCCTACAGTGCCTACAATGCCCACAATGCCTACAATGCCCATAATAGCATGCTATGGTGGTGCTGCCTGAAATGGCCTGCCTCGTCATATCATGCAATTTGTTTTAACGGGAAAAATAATTTGGACATATAATGCTTGAACTTTACTTTGTAAAAACAAAAAAACGGCAAGTTGGGTCAGGTCATCGTGCAGGTGAGTGAGTTGAAGGCATTTAGGGGACACGACATATGATACAGTGGGATAAATATGGCAAGTCGTTCGGTGTCTTTCTTCATCGAGACCCTGATCGATGTCTCTCCTTTGCGATCACTAATTCAGTAAAGTCTTGTGTATGTGTGTGTGTGTGTGTGTGGGTGGATATATCAGCTACTGGCCTTGGTCCTTGGTGTATCTCAAGTCACTTGACTTATTTCTCAATTGCGACACCAATCGATCTCTTTCTGCTTTGTGACACCATAAGTCGCTCGTTCACAGAAGTGTCTTGGTAAGTCGACTAATACTGTCCTTGGTACACTTTCATACGCATTTTATATTATGCGTTGACTGGCTTTTTTTCTTCTGGAATTCCAAAGTTCGTGTTATTTTGTCGGTAACCCCGCATCTCCCATGTATGTACATGCTGTCTGTTATTTTGTCGGTAACCCCGCATCTCCCATGTCTGTACATGCTGTCTGTTATTTTGTCGGTAACCCCGCATCTCCCATGTCTGTACATGTCGTATATTATGCTTTCCATTCTGCGCATTTCCCAACGACATCTCGCAAATGACCAAATGTAGGCAGGGATGATTCTGTAGATCTGGCTGTCTGTTTATAGATGTTAATATTTTGTGCTTTTCTATGTGATGAGGGACATAAATATGTGAATGTTTATGCAAAACTAGAACTTGACAGTTACTGACAAAACCTTGGATTCTGCACACAAAGCAAGTGCATTGATCGTCTCAACGCGCACACACAGATTTGCACACAATTCCGAGTTTCACAGCATCAAATTGAGGAAGGATAACCCAGTAATGAATGTACTGAATGTCATTATTTCCCTTTCCCGTGTGGGTTCCGCATGCATATTTGTTTGTTTGTTTGTTTTAGTATCCAGAAGCCATGAGTTGTTAACCCTTAGGCTCGGTATTATGGATATCGAAACCTTTCGGACTTGATTCCATTGTAAATACCGTAAATCTGGGAGAAATGTGGCTTTTCTGCCTGCCCCCGGGCTTGAACCCGGACCGCAAGGAGTTCGTCACCCGGTCACCGCTCAATCCGGTTTAGGCAACTACGCTAGAGAGCCTGGCGCATGTACATTTTAAAAGGACAAAGTATGTATGTTGTACCCCACCAGGACATCACACAAGTGATAAACACCCGATGACAAGTGCCACCATGCAGAAGAGGATCACTCGTAGAGGTCCCGGAAACCCCGTTCAGCCGTTTCGCCATATTTCAGGGCCCCCGGCGAAAGCCAGGGTGGGGCTTCGAATACTGTTCACGCAGTACATATACTAAAATTGGAACGATACAGAGAAGATTAGCATGGCCCCTGCGCAAGGATGACACGCAAATTCGTGAAGCGTTCCATATTTTACATGAGGCATCCGGCGCTCCCCGGCGGCAAACACCAGCTCTGGGTCACTGTGCCAGGCAGAAGGACGAATTGTCCTCACTGTGGGCACAATGACCACTGGGCAAACAAGTGCCCTACAAGGAGGAGACGACCCGAGCCAGTAACTGCGCCCATTCCGGAGGACGTTCATCTACCACAGGAAGAAGCGACAGTCGCTACGGAAGTGATATCAAGCACGCAGTCCTCAACGGAAGAAGAGGGCTCACAGACCAAAGGCAAGAAGCAGAAAAAAGTCAAAAAGCGAAGCCGCCAGAAGGCCAGCTCCAACGAGACTTCACCTGCAGCAAAAAGAGAGAACAAAGAAGGCCCAAAGGAAACTGCAGCAGCTGGCGTGAAAGAAGAGTCCACATCCTGCTCAGAAGACACAGACTGGGAGAGTGCCCTGCCTCACATCAAAGACATATAATGTCCACATTGCTCGGCGGAATCGACCACATTCTCGCATAGTCTCCAAAGTCCACTGCGTTAGATGTCACCAGCAACTGAAGGACACCAACTTTCTTTCCTAAAAGACATCGAAATCAAAGTAAGAAACAGACCACTGAAACAGTACGGAACCCTCTCTTGGTGCAAACCCAAAAAATGAGTGGAGTCCCCCCTCTCTTCATTTTTCCCCGCCCCAGAGCTTTTTCCTTTCACTTTGTTTCGTTACCTTTCCATTTCTTTTTGTTTGTTTTTGTAATTTGAATAAAATTTTGAACGCACACACAAAACAACACAACAATAACACGCACAAACGGCATCGAATGTAAAAACAGACTTACAAAAATACTAGCAACATACCAAAAAAAAAAAAAAAAATTGCATCTCACAAGGCAATGACTAGGTAATATACGTGGATTGACAAAAACAAAACAGACAGACAGACCGCCCCCTATCAAGCCTGTTAGTGACTATTTACGGGTTAGTTAGTTAGTTAGTTGGGTTATCATCATTGCACTCCGGACATGTCCATAGGTGCTCAGATCCTCCCCTCAGTATGAATCCCAACGTCCGATGGCTAATAGTACCAGTTCTATGTTGATTAACAAATCTTCTGACGTGTCCGGTGTGCGTCTCGTTTTTTGCTGTGCCGATCTTAATTCCCAAGTCTGCCATTCTGGCGAGTGATGTGGATTCACTGCCACCAAAGTCCTCTATCCTTCCCATTTCTCTGAGGGCATTGATAATATCAGCATGATCCATAGGCCGACAGTCGGTAGTGATAGCGGATCCAGCAAGCCTGTCAGCTCTTTCATTTCCATCGACTCCTCTGCGTGTCCGGAACAAAAATAAAGGTGACTCCTCGCACAGTGGACTTTCTGAATTGATTCAAAAGCCATTGTCTTCGCAATGAACCTGCCTGAACCCTCCGGATCATACTCACTGAATCACTGAGTATACATATGCGGGTGTATTTTTGTGTTTCAAGCCAAGGCAAACGCTTGCGTCACTGCCATCACCTCCATCGTCATGCTGCTGGTTGTCATGGAGAAGGCGCCGTTGGCTTCTTTGACTGTTCTGCCCGCTGAGCGTGCTGTAAATGCCCATGCGCTTCTTCTTTGGCGTATAACGGATCCGTCTGTATAGATTAGTGCATCTGCTTCGTCTGAATTTTCACCGATGAGAGCGTTGACCTCTGCATTAACAGCAACAGGATTCTCTTCTCTACATCGCCTGTTGAGTGTGACAATACAGGAAAATGTACAAATAAACGCCTGAGGCACAGGTATCCATTCTGCACCAGGTATGATGTCGGTTAGGCTGCATATTTGCCTAATAACATCTTCTGCCCGACCTAGCCATGATTTTCCCCTCTTCAGTCTGTCGCCCTTTTCACTAAAAAGTGCTTGATGCAGTGGGTATTTACGGGTATTTCTTTCGAAGTCGGAAACTACCTGTCTTGGAGCGAGGAACCAACAAAAAAGCAAAATCTGTAAAACAAATATGCACAAAAACTTAAGTTTTAGGACAAGACCAAAGTCCAGAAGTGGACGAACATACAGAACTTTCCACTGAGTTTACAGCCAGTAAACGCGAAGGAGATTTTTACTGCCCTTGAATATTTGTTGGTGTCAATAATTAAAAATCTCAAACACTGTGAAATGTGACCGATACAAATTGATCATGTCCTATGTATATTCTAATGTACTGCTTCCCTGTACGCGCACATGATAGTGGGCGTCGGAGACGCTTTATCAAAAACCATCACCATGGAAATGGTCACTGAATTCATGAGTGAATCTTCAAGGGGAAACAAACCATTTATCTACTGATCATATAATTTGCCCATGCTTCATTCCCCTGGTAATGTTAACAATGGGGAAATCTGGAAAAGTTAGAATGCGAAACTCCCATTCCCACACCACACACAACAACATTCCATATCTGTGTGCACACAAATACCAGACCTGCCCCCTCCCCCACCCACCTGAAGTAGGTATGTAATGTAATGTAACGCAACCCAATGTTTGTATGTATATATGAATGTATGTATGCATGCTTGAGTGTGGATGAATGTGTATACATGATGTGTATGCATTTTTCTATAATGTATATTTTTTAAATTATCAACATAACATACACATTTCGTCCGTTTTAGGACGAATTTTTTCGTTATTTGAAGCCCTACTCTGGCTTTTGCCAGGGGCCGTAATATAGCCTGGGCATAAATATGGCCTAAAAGCTGAACGCGGTTTCTGGGACCTCTCCACGGTTATCCTACCCACATGGTGGCACATTGTGTCATCGGGTGTTTATCGCTTGTGTGATGTCCTGGTAGGGTGGAAAGTCAGTCAGTCAGTCAAACATAGCATGCATTATTGATAACATGCATTGGAACTCTGAAAGATGAGTGCTAAGAAGGACCGAATGTCAGACGGGCCTGCGTGCCCAATTTGTTACCCTTTGAAAAAAAAGTTTGTTCGTTCGTTCACATTGGACAGTGGGTTTGGTAGCGGAAATTTGGGGCCTATGTCCCTTGAACGTTTTCAACAAACATTTTTTAGGGTGGGAGAGGTGGGGTGGGGGCTGCTGAGAGCCTCGTACAGAGCACGAATTCCGCAGTACCAGTCACGAACCTCACGGATCTCTGCAAAACTGCCCCCATGACCTGAACAAAGCGTTCGTGAAACGAATTCATGACCTTCCGAACACTAGCTAGTCGACCACCTAACAGCGGAGCTCCCCCCCCCCCCCCCCCCGTCCACACCTCGGCCGCCCCCGGCCCCCCCCCCCCCAACCACCGCCTTCCAGGAAATGTTCAAGAAGGCTGCATGGTCTCTATAACTATACAGACGATATCTACAGCTATGTTTTCATATCACAGACAATATGTTGTTATGTTTGCCATTGAG